CTATTGCCATGAATCAGAGATCTAGGCAAAAGTTTACCTCCAAATATATTCATGTAGCAATAATGATTAGAGCAGAGAAAATAAGAAATAAACAAAATGGGCTAAATTAAATAAGTCATAGTACATGTTAAGGGTTAAATGTGTCCCCCCAAAATTCATGTTTTGGAAACTTGAACCCCATTGTAACAGTGTTAAGAGGGTGGGAGACCCAGTTACGGTATTTGAAAGGTGGGGCCTTTCAGAGGTGATTGGATTGAGAGGACTATGCCCTTGTGAATGGACTGATCCGTTCATAGAGTAATGAGTTGTGATAAGCACGGTTCTGAAGGCTTTATATGTACAGCAAGTGAAAATGTTAGCTCTCTTGCTCTTGCTTTCCTTACCATGTGACAACTTGCATTGCTGTAGAGAGTCACTGCCAAGAAGAACTCACCAGATATGTTCTCTGGACCGTGGACTTCTCAGCCTCCAAAGAAAATTTCATTTCTTTATAAATTACCCAGTTTCAGGTATTCTGTTATAAGCAACAGAAAATGGACTAATACAGTACATAAATATACATAAATGGAATATTATGTAGCCATTAAAGAGCAAGTTCTCGGGCCGGCCTGTGGCTCACTCGGGAGAGTGTGGTGCTGATAGCACCAAGGCCCTGGGTTCGGATCCCATATAGGGATGGCTGGTTAGCTCACTGGGTGAGCGTGGTGCTGACAACACCAAGCCAAGGGTTAAGATCCCCTTACCGGTCATCTTTTAAAAAAAAAAAAAAAAAGCAAGTTCTCAAAGAATATTTAAGAAATGGGAAAATGCTCTCAACAACATTTTTGTAAAAGAAAAGTATTACATTCTCATTTACATATCAAAAATAGCATCAAAAAAAACATCAGAATGTTAACTGCATGGGAAGTTGTTGTCTACTGGCTACAGAGTTATAGTTTGGGATGATGGAAAAATTCTGGAGACAATGGTGGTGACGGTTGCACAACAATATAAATGTACTTAATGACACTGAATATAGTATAGTTAAAAATGTTTAAAATGGTTAATTTTATGTTACATATATTTTACCAAAATTTTTGAAAAGAGACAACACAAACATGACTGCCCTCGCTGTTTCACACTATTCCTTCCACATAGCTGCATTCACCTACAGTCCTAAAGAACAAAATGGACTTAATCTTCTACAGCATGTGTTCTCAAGGCATGGTCCCTGGGTTAGCAACATCGGCAACACCTAAGAACTGGTTAGGAACAAATTCTCAGGCCCCACCTCATACCTACTAAATCAAAAGAAATTCTAGGGATGGGGCCCAGCAATCTGTGTTTTAGCAAAATGTTCCTGATGATTCTGATGAACCACTGTTCTAGACCCTAAAAGTATTTGATAGGCTTTGCTTTATAGGCAGCAAAGCTTAATAATCTAAAAAAATTATTTTTATTTTTCTCATTCATGCTGAAGAAATAGACTGTCTTTTAAAATTAACGAAGAAAAAGTGATATAAAATATTAACCACTCTCCTGTTTTCTTCTACCCAAANGTAAGAAACTGGGGGATCCTCAGCACTGGGTGAAGAGAAGGTTAAGAACCTGCTACTAAGAGGTGGTTAAAAAAAACAAAAAACAAAAAAACTCCGGCAGGCAAAAAGGAAAAGGAAATTTCTATGGCAAAACCAGGGACATTCCTCCTATTTGATGGGATATATCATAAACTTCAATAAACACAGGCTTCCCGTATTTCCTTGGCAAAATGAAAACCACAGAAATAAAGTCTCCAATAAAAATCATAATCATTAAAAAATATCAAATCCAAACCTACAATGAAAACATTAAACTTTAGTAATTAAGAACACTATCTGAAAAAAAATAAGTACCTGCAGTTATCGCAAGTTGCCAAATCAAAGTGGTTCATAAGATAAGAATCCATAAATTCTTTCCCACATTCTTCACATATTGTATAATCAAATTCCATAACAGGTCCTAAAAAAAAAGGGAGATTCATTCTTTAAGTTTCTTTTTTTGTGTCTAGAACAATATATTTTCCTCTATTTTATTAGCTTATCATATGTATTTTATGCTTGACACGAATACATTTAAGTAAAACACAAAATAAAAACTTGATTAAGTGATCTTATGGTTATCTTAAAAAAAATTTAACAGGAAAAAAGAAAAGGTAGCAATATAAGGAAAAAAAACTATCAATTCAAGAAGAATTTCTGAACTCCTACCACACACAAGATACTTCTATTAGTGTCACCTTGCTCCTGTAAGAAATTACCACAAATGGAGTGGCTTGAAACAACACAAATTTATTATCTTACAGATCTGTAGCTAAAAGTCTGACACGGGGTACAGTGGGCTGTATTCCTTCTGGAGGCTCTAGTGGAGAATCCCTTTCTTTGCTTTTTCCAGCTTCTAGAGACGCCTGCATTCCAAGACTCGTGACCACACTCCATCTTCAAAGCCAGCAGCTGTGCCTTGTCACACTGCATCACTCACTTCTTCCACAGTCACATGTCCCTCTGATTCTCTCCTTCCACTTGCCTCTGCCACTTTGTTTTTTTGAGGGGGCGCCCCAAAAGGCAGACAGGTTTATTGGGCAGCAGCTGGAGAATCAGCAGTTGGACTTGGCCACACATTCCAGCTCATCCTTCTTGATGTCATGTCATAGGAGTTGGAGGAGCCCTTGGCAGCATTGTCCTCTGCCACTTTTAAGGAGCCTTAGGATTACGTTGGGACAACTGGATAATCCAAGGTAATCTCCCCACCTCAAGGTCTTTAAACTTAATCATATCTGCGAAGTCCCTTTTGCTAAGTTAAGGTAATACATTCACAGGTTCCGGGGAAATTAGGGCATGACATCTTTGGGTGACATTATTCTGCCTACCGCAGTACTGCTGAAAAGTACAAATGAGATTAGTTCCAAAATGGGAGGGAGGAGTGGGATCTGTACATGGACAGAGAGACAGGGCATCAAAAGACAACATGGCCAAGAGCAATAAAGAGCAAGGCAACACTAGGAGAGAGACGATACAGAATTCACATCCAGATGGGACAATTTTTTCTCCCTGCATTCCACCCCCTGCCTACAAAGCAAAGAGCTTCTTCTTTATCTGTCGCAACTACTGGATTATAAACTTCTTGAGGGGAGAAATTGTTTTAGCCATGCATCCTCAACATCTAGCACAGAAACTACTCTAGGTATGTAAAGCAAGGTTTTTAAGGACTTCAAATGCCTAATCTAAATCTTGTAAGAACTGGTTCTCCCAGCAAGTCTTTAAGTTTTACTAATAAGTCTTTAGGTTGATTACTACTGCCAAGCCCCAACTCTGAGAACTGCCACAATTTCCAGTGGGAAGAAGACAGGAGCCGTCATTTGTTCACTGCTTGTTCAACACGTTCCTATCACCGCCTTCTCCTACCTACTTCTAACACAAGGTCTGTTAGTATCCCACCATCCCTTAATTCCACTCATCTCCAAACTTTAAGAAAACAAAAAAATTGCTCTTCTTTATAAAATAGTAGAAGAACAGCTGTAGACAAAAGGAAAAACTAAAAATTTTGGAACAGGAATGATGATAGTCAAAGTGATATTTTTAAAAAATGTACTAGGATGTGTTAGAATGAAGAGAAACAATAGTCAGAAATACCAGTTAGGAGGCTACTA